ACACACACACACACACACACACATGACACATACAAACCTCCGTCTTGGCACAGTATGTATCCCAGCATCATAGTTGAGCACATCCTCAAAGCTTACATTGACCAGCGACGTCACCTCGAAATCGCCCGTCGCCGGACGCGCGGTGAACTCTGGGTTGACCTTGCCCTGGTTATAGTGCAAGGTGAAGGACGGATAGATCCAGCCGAACTGCTCGTAGAACGTGATGCGATTGGACAAGGCAGTGCCACCAACGTTTCTTTCTCTCATAACCTGTAGGTGAATAGTGGTATGTTGCTATTCCTTATATAGGGTGCACACTACCAACCAGATTCCGCCGTTAACTCTGGGGTCTACTAGATTTTCCTTCATGGATGGAGCAAAACCTACAATTTTGACACAATACAACCGTTTCGACAAGCGATCTAAAAAAACAAAACAACCCCAACCACTTTCGTTGTGAAGACCACAGTCGAATTTAGTTAAATCAAGTCATAATGTACCAAAATAGTAACTTTATTCGCATCCATGGGGCATTAGGTACCCCAGAGTCATAATGTAGGCTGCTTTAGTTCAAGGAGGGTGCCGTGGCGGAGCGGTTAGTGCGCTCATCTCCGAAGCGGAAAGTCCGGGTTCGAGCCTGACTTCGAGTTGGGGAAGTAAAGGCGGCGTGGACATGAAATGGCCACGCTACCGCTATATTCCGAAAGCCCAGGAAGTTGTCTTACTAACAAAGCAATCCGCAATGTCTGAATCGGATGCGATAACAACTTTAGTTCAAGACTCGGTGATATCGCCAAGAAGTAGACGATAAGGCATTATGGGAGAGTGGTAGGGATCCCCAACGTAGCGACAGTTAGTATTTTACACAATACTTGGAAATACAATGAAGATGAGCAGTGCTGAAATTATTTCAGCCTGTTAAAGGAGGCAAAAGTAGGCTCTGGCTATAAAAAGGTTGACAGGCTCTGTTTTATACCATGCAAGCACAAAAATAACTCATGAAGCATTACTGCCGATGTCTGCTTCACTAGTTTCAGGACTGGCACTTAAAAGAAGTGGAGCATTACGGCGTCCAATGAGAACTGATATACCGAAGAGATGTTCAATCTACA